GTCCCATCCCTGGAGACATTCAAGGTCAGGCTTGATGGGGCTCTGAGCAATCTGTTCTAGTTGGAGATGTCCCTGCTTATTGTAGAGGGGTTGGACTAGGTGGTCTTCAGAGGTTCCTTCCAGCCCAAGACATTCTGTAGTTCTAAGATCTGCTTTTAAAAGAAGGGAAATTGTTTTTATGGGGTCTGAGCAGCCTGGTTCACTCTGGGAGGATGAGAACTTGCAGGCAGCTGGGGAAGATTGCATCCAGGCCTGCTGTTTGGATCAAACAAGCTGAGAGCAGCCTGTCCCCATCTTTTGTGGTTATCCTGGCCCTTTTCCTGCTGCCAAACCTTGTCTGTGCACAGGTGAGCTAGCACATGGCTTAGGCAGGTCAGGCAAACCCACACTGCCCTCCTTAGGGTTGGAATTTTGCCTAAACCCTGAGGTGATGCTTTCATAGGATCACAGGGGTGGGAAGGGAACTCTGAAGGTCATCAAGTCCAATCCCCCCTGCTGCAGCAGGAACACTCAGGGCAGATCCCACAGGAAACACGTCCAGTTGGGTCTTGGAAAATCTCCAGAGAAGGAGCCTCCACAACCTCTCTGAGCAGCCAACTAAACCCAGATGCCTTCACACCCTTAAACCTGTTCTCATACAGTGAAAATAACAAGGAATTATGATCCCAAGTGTAATATTTTTCCATTAACAGGATGATGGTGCAAATAATAGTTTTTACCTGTCGACACCTACTCGGTTTGGCTGCCTGAGAGTGAGTGGGTATTGAAAGCAAATTGCCCTGAAGAAAATAGTACTTATATGTTCTTATCACTCATTCTTTTCTGAACTCCTGCTGCAGCTCTTGGACGTGAGGCTGGAGACCAGGATGACTCAAAAGCCCAGGTTTGCCTCAAGTTCCTAACTGCAGCTCCCTGCTGTTCCTTCTCTTGATCTTTATTTAATGGTTTGCTGAGTACAGGTGGAGGAAGAGGGTTCAAACTGCTTGGCTGAGCACAGGATTTGAATTTCAAAGAGCTGCCAGGGCTGCGGGTCTTTTACAAACCTGAATGGCTCCAGACTCCTAGGAAAGCTGGAGGGATGGGGGTTTGTGCCTGCAAACCTCCCCCTTTCTGCTCGGGGAAGATTAAAGGCAGCTTTCCTCAGCATGGCTGCTTTGAGCCATTTGCTTTGAGGGTGAATGGTTTCATAGAATCATGGGATGGTTTGGGTTGAAGGGACCTTAAAGATCATCCAGTTCCAACCCCCTGCATGGGCAGGGACACCTCCCACCAGCCCAGGTTGCTCCAAGCCCCATCCAACCTGCCCTTCAACACCCCCAGGGATGGGGCAGCCACAGCTTCCCTGGGCAACCTGGGCCAGGCTCTCACCACCCTCACAACAAAGAATTCCCTCCTTATCTCCAACCTCCAGCTCCCTCTCCCAGTTTTCATCCATCCCCCTCATCCCATCCCTCCCTGCCCTTGTCCCAAGTCCTCCCCAGCTTTCCTGGAGCCCCTCCAGGCACTGGCAGGTGCTCTAAGGTCTCCCTGGAGCCTTCTCTTCTCCAGGCTGAACACCCCAACTCTCCCAGCCTGTCTCCAGAGCAGAGCTGCTCCAGCCCTCCCATCATCTCTGTGGCTTTTCTGGCCTCTTTCCAGGAGCTTCATGTCCTTGTACTGGGGACTCCAGAGCTGGACACAGTTCTGCAGGTGGGGTCTCACCAGAGCTAAGTAAAGGGGGACAGTCCCCTCCCTGGCCCTGCAGCTTTGATGCAGCCCAGATTACTTTGGCTTTTCTACTTGTTACAAATCCCTGAGGCCCAGGAGCCCATGGGGAAATCCAACCCCCACCCAAGCCCATCTCAGCTTACAAGAAATCAGTCCAGGCACAACAGCAGTTGGGGTTAAATCTCTCTTTGCAGAGAAGAAAACACCCCAGTGAGTTTTTCCTGCAGCTGCTAAGCCTCCTTGTAAGGATTTTGTAGCCATTTTTGCCCAGTTCTAAAAGCAGATGGACCTGAGAGTAGCAAGGATTTGGCCAGTGTCCTGGTAGGTGTTTTTCTTCCCCTCTTTCCAGGAGGCTTCTCCCTCTCTGATATGAGTAGGATTAAAAAGCAACAGAGGAATTCAAGGTGGGAAGGCAGAAAACAACTGTAAATCTGTGGGCTGGCTGCTCCTGTCCAGAGCTGCTGCTTGGGAGGAGACGAGGAGGACCCCACATGGCTTTTCCTACTCCCCTGGGCCAAGTGTGGCCACTGATCCACCAGCTGGAGAGGGTGCAGATGCTCAGGGGGTTAAACCTCTCCCAAAAACTGCTCCCTGAAGAGTGTGGTGCTTAAAGAACTGTGGAAAACCTGTTTTTCCCTGTCTTACCAAGCACACAAAGCCCTCCTGCCCACCTCAGGCTTTTCTTTCTGGGGGAAAAATGTACAGATTCAAGCTTGTTTACTGAGAAGAAGGGATGACTATGTAATAAACCCACTTTTATTCTGTGGAGAACAGAAAATGACTTTCATTACACCTCTTTTTTTTTTTTTTTTTTTTTTTTTCCCTCTTTGTGGAAACCAAAGAAAAAAGCAGCTTTTTTTCCTCTTTGTAGCTGTAGTATTTGATCTTTAATTTAACTTGACGGGGAGAGAAATCCCTGTTAGGCTGCAGAGCCTGATTAGCATTTTGTGGAATGGCACCAACTAGCTGAGCTGCCTTCAAGAACCAAACAAGACATTTCTCTGAGGTGCTGGAAAGAGTCATCTCTCTGAGAGGCCTGGGAATCAGGTGGATTAATCACTTGTAATTAAATCAGTGAAACATGAATGAGCCTGATCTTCCTCAGGCTTGTGAAAGGCGGGTTGGTCTCCAGGGCGTGTGTGTGTGTGTCTGGAACTGCTGCACACCTTTAAAATGGGGCTAAATGAGGCTAAATGCCCAATTTTGGTTTCAACTTTGTGATTAGGGTCCTGGAAAGCAGAAAATAATCAGGGCTATTAGGACAAGGGGCCATGGGCAGGAGCTGGAAGGTGGGAAGTTCCATCTGAAGCTGAGGAGGAACTTGTTGGCTGTGAGGGTGGCAGAGCCCTGGGCCAGGCTGCCCAGAGAGGCTGTGGAGGCTCCTTCTCTGGAGACATCCCAACCCCAGCTGGAGGTGTTCCTGTGGGACCTGCTGGAGGTGACCCTGCTCTGGCAGGGGTTGGGTGGATAATCTCCAGAGGTCCCTTCCCACCCCAGCACCCTGTGACTCTGTGGCTCAGCCCTGGTGTTGGGAATGGGGCAGTTTGGAGGGGAGATGCATCAAGTGGGCTGGAGCTGTCGGGGTTTGTTGAGCTGCATGTCTGACTGTTCTCCTTTTCCCCTTTCTGTGGCAGTTTTCCTGCTGTGGTGGTGATGAGTACCGGGACTGGGAGGTGAACCAGTACCACTCCTGCAACAGCAGTGGGGCACTGGCCTGTGGGGTGCCCTACACCTGCTGCATCAGGAAGGTAAGGCAGCCCATGCCTGAAAGAGCCTTGATTTCAGCTAGGATTTCAGGCAAACCCCCTCTTCCAGCTGCTTGTTCCTGCCTGTTTCTTCCCTAAAGAGTTTCTTGTCAACTGCATCATCTTGCAAAGTGGTTTGAGGCAGGATCAGCCTGAGGTGCTGCCTCAGGAGGCGCTAAAAAGAAGCCCAAAATATCTATCTATGGGCTCTGCTGTGTCTTAGTAGGTTTAATGTAAAAGAAACACCAAAGCACTGGGCTATTGATTCCTTTTTACTATGCCTTGGAGTTGTTAGAAATGCTGAATTCCTGTTTTTCAACCTAATGTGTGATCTGAAATGGTCTTGGAGGATGGTTTGGCAGAGTGGTGGCAGGGTCTTACAGGGGCTTGGCTGCATCTCGGAGGGATCCAAGTGAGCTGCTGTCCTCTGCTCTCCTGGCTCAGAGGACACGTGTCTCTGGGGCTGCTGTGGGGTTTAGGGGTCTATGGGGGTCGTGTTTGCTGGTGGCTGCTCCTAACAAAGAGGTTTTTGAGGGATATACTAAAAATGGGGCTGTGAGGGGTGTTTGGATCAAGACCCACCCTTGTGCAGTGCAATTTTAGCATCTCTAACCTCCAGAGTCACTTGTTTCTGCTCAGATATGTTGTGTGGCTCAGAAACTATTGGCTGCTCCTGTCCTTTATCTTCTTGTTTACTAGATACAAAGAGAACAGGAGCAAATAGGATAAAATAGAGTAAAATGAAATTAAATGGCATGGAACACAACACAGTAAGGGACAGCTGGTCCCTGCCTGATCAAAGCTCAGGAACTGTCTTGTTGTTCTGCCCAAATCATCTCAGATCTTCATAGTCCAGGTGGCTGTTAGGAGGAGGGAAGTGCTGCATTGACAGTGGGGTGGACACAGCCCAACGTGTGACACTGCTGTGTCCACCTTTGAGGTCTTCCTCCTCACTTCTGGAGTTGTCCTGGTGACTGTAGCTCTCATGGTGAAGCTTCATGTCCCTGTAGAGCCAGCAGGGCAGAGCAGTCAGGACCAGGGACACCCCTGCACTCCACCACACTTCACTGGAATGGAGGTGGAATCACATCTTCCTCCTCCTCCATCTCCTGCAGCAGCTGAGTCATCTCCCAGGCCAGGTCCTCTTGGTGCTGCTGCATCATTTCAGTGGTGGCCACTTCAGCCTGGGATGGTGGTTCCTGCTGTGCTGGAAGGGCAGCAGAGCCAGGGAACATGCCAACCCCCCCTGCATGGTCTGTAGGGCAGGGAGCAAAGGGGGCTGAGCAGGGCTGGGTGAAGGGGAGCAGGGGCTGGGGGAGCAGGGCAGGAGGCCCCAGAACTGGGGAGCAGGTGGAGAGGGGCTGAGGGAGCTGGGAGGGCACAAGGGCAGGTTTGGGAGCCCTGCTGGGCTGGGAGCCATGGGCTGTCCCAGGGGAGCTCTGGGACTCTGGTGTCCTCAGGCTTGAAGGGGCTGCAGGCCCTGGATGGGGACAGCACAGGGTGTGTCCTGCTCAAGCCACCCACTGATGGCCCTGGCTGGGCTGTGTCCTGGGAAGGGACAAGGGACACCTGAGGAGAGGCTGGTGAGGACCCCATCCCTGCCCCACAGCAGCATCCATGGACCCACAGGCACCTGGCACATCCCCAAAGCCCTGAGATGTTCCAAGGGCTGGAGCAGCTCTGGAGCCAGGCTGGGAGAGTTGGGGTGTTCAGCCTGGAGAAGAGAAGGCTCCAGGGAGACCTGAGAGCACCTTAGGAGGGAATTCTTTGGTGTGAGGGTGGTGAGAGCCTGGCCCAGGTTGCCCAGGGAAGCTGTGGCTGCCCCATCCCTGGGGGTGTTGAAGGGCAGGTTGGATGGGGCTTGGAGCAGCCTGGGCTGGTGGGAGGTGTCCCTGCCCATGCAGGGGGGTGGATCTGGATGATCCTTCAGGTCCCTTCCTACCCAAACCTCTCCATGATTCCATGCTGAAGGGAGATGCAGAGGACAGTCCATTTGCAGAGCCAGGGTCTCTTGTGCTGATTTTCAGAGCTGAAAAGACACCCCCCACACACCATGCAGCACTTTTCCTGCTTAGACTGAGCTAAGTGCTCCAACACCATCTCACTTAACACAACCATCCCCCTTGTTGCAATCAATCCAACACATGCTGAGGACAAAATGCCAGGAGTTGGCTCAAGGCAGGTGGGAAAAAGTGCAAATATCCCTGATTGCTGTGGCCAGAAATGCTAGAAATGGTGTTAAAATGGATTTTCTGACGGTAATCCTGGTGGTAAAACCTCCTGGGGGGAGTTCAGAGTGTTGGGAACAGCAGCCTGGCCTTTGAACCCTGACCTTGCCCCTTGTCCAAGGGAAATGTATCATCCATCCAGGAGGGGTGGTGGATTTTTAATGGCAAAAAAGGAGAAATGGGAGGTGTCTTAATTACCAGTGGAAGTCTGACATGCAAATGAGCTGCCAAACTAATTGTCATCTCTAATCAGGGTGTTTGATTAAGAACCTGAAAGGTCTTGAAGATGGAATTAGGAGATCATGTGTTGTCCTTTTGTGTGAGAAGTGAGGAAGTGCTGGAGAGAGTGAAGTGCCTCTTCCAGTGTTTTGACAGCTCCTGGGGGCTTGGGTGTCACTTTGGGAAACAAATGCCCTCAGTGGGGCAGTGTTGGAGATAGAAGGTGTCAGGGATGACTGATGGAGCAGGAGAAGAAAGAAGGGAAGTTTTGGGTTTCCCTTTGCAATGAGCTGGGGCTGGAAGGAGGAGACTCTAGTGAAGGACTGGAGCAGCTGCCTCCTGGGAGGGAAGGTCCAAGTGAAACCCCCCTGTATTTTGTTCAAGAATGAAAGGCCATGAAGGTGGCTGTGACAGCTGGAGGGGTTTGGTGAGACCTCACTAAATGTATCTCAATTTCAGTGAGAAATGACCCCTGTTCTGGGGCAGAGCAGTGGCCATGTAGGTGGATCTAGCCTCCTTCAGAGGTTGGATTTTTGGCCCTCCAGGGCACTTTTGGTTCAGGAATCAGCCCAACACAGTATCAGTAGTACAGGAAGTAGATGAAGAGACCAGCTCCCCTGGGAATTTCCTGCTGTCTGTGACATAAAACAACAAGCTAATAAAAATGTAGTTGAAACACCAGAGTGAACCCCCCCATAACTGCATTTGTGTCTCTGCTTGTGGCTATTTGCTGAAATCAGGGAACCAGGGAATGGTTTGGGTTGGAAGGGACCTGAAAGCTCATCCAGTTCCACCCCCTGCATGGGCAGGGACACCTCCCACCAGCCCAGGCTGCTCCAAGCCCCATCCAACCTGCCCTTCAACACCCCCAGGGATGGGGCAGCCACAGCTTCCCTGGGCAACCTGGGCCAGGCTCTCACCACCCTCACACTCAAGAATGAATTTTCAATGTCTAATCTAAAGGGCTGAAAGTTGTTGTGGGGTTTTCCCTGTGGGCAGAAAAAACTGGGAGAAGCACCTTGGGATGAAGAATGGAGCCACGTGTGAGACTCTGGACATACCTGGTTGGGTCTTGATGCCCTTTTCCACCAAAATGTGTTACTTGAGGGCTGAAGAGTTGGTCTTGCAGCTAGAGGGATAACCAAGGACCACCCAGGCACACTTGTGGATTCTTCTGGGTTGGGTAGAGATGAACCTGATGGTCTCTCCACTGTGAATACACTTTTTATCAGCCAGTTACTAATCCATCAGTTTATAGAGCAAGAAACTCTTTTCTTCTTGGGTCCTTCTCCATTTGTGCCCTCATGTGTGACAGCTGGAGAGCAAAGCCTCCTTTGGTCTTAGAAGATCTCTGAGATGTCCCTAGGGCTGTGCCAGGAGAGGACATTTGAAGATGTTATATTATGGAGAGAACAAAAGGTGCTGGTGGGAGTGAGCTTGTCTGAAGGGAGGAGTATGAACCATGGAGGAGGAGGTTGGTTGCAGTTTGGTCTTGACTTGTCATGAAGCAGAGCCAGAAATCCAGCCTGGTTTCCAAGAGAGGACTTTTTTTACCACAGGTGCCTCTAAGATTTTTGTGCTGCATTCCCTGGGACATCCAGGGCAGGCTGAGCTACATTCATGAGAGCAGAATCCTCTAAAAATGCTCTGGCTCCTTGGAAGATTCTCACCTCTGAGGTCACAGACCTTCAAGTCTACCCAGGAAAAAGAAATGAGCAAGTAGGAGCTTCCCTGAGGGCTTGGATCCTCCTCTCTAAGTGCTTTTCCAAATGCTTTTCCAATGCACTGGTGTCTTCTCCTGGGATGCTGCAGTGTAGCTGTGCTCTGCCAAGCTCAGCAGCTCCCAAGCCCTTCTGAAGGTGCCATTTGGCACCAATTTGGGGGAGAAAAGCAGTTGATTAAATAAAAAAAGTGCAAGGTTTGCAGTCCTCTGCCCTGGATGGGTTTTAAACGTGAGCCCTGGAGGCATCAAAATGTTTTCTGGAAGAAGAAATGCTTCTGTCTGGGTCTGGATTGGAAATTTCAATTCAGCTCTGACCTTCTCTTTTATGCAAGGTCTTGACAAAGGTCCACCAAGGCCAAACCCTTCCTTTTGTGTTTTCCACACTTCTCCCAAACACAAGGTGATGGGAGAGTTATGGGCAGGACTGGAGATGATTGAGGAACCTTGGGTTAATTAATGCCAGAAGGAGGAAGGTGATGAATTTGGGCTGTAGCCAGATGTGGTCAGATGATGAGTCCAATCCAAAACATTGGGGTTTTACCTGCTAGAGGTCCTGAGGTGTCCACAAAAATGAGTCTGAAAAGCTAAGGACAAATGTCCTTGGATAATGGATGAAAAGTGGGAGAGGGAGCTGGAGGTTGGAGATGAGGAGGGAATTCTTTGGTGTGAGGGTGGTGAGAGCCTGGCCCAGGTTGCCCAGGGAAGCTGTGGCTGCCCCATCCCTGGGGGTGTTGAAGGGCAGGTTGGATGGGGCTTGGAGCAGCCTGGGCTGGTGGGAGGTGTCCCTGCCCATGCAGGGGGCTGGATCTAATGATCTTTCAGGTACCTTCCAACTCAAACCATTCCATAACAAGTGAAAGCTGTCAAGAAAAGAGATCCATTTTTCAACTATAAACCAAAAAAGTGACTCTTTGGTCACTTGCAGGTTCCTTTATACCTCTGTAGGTGATAGTGTTGGCCTTCAGAGCACTGGGAGCTCCCTTTATGCCAAAGCCTTCCCATTTCATGGCCACAACCCAGCTGAAATCCCTCTCCAGGCCCCTGGTGACTGCTTTGCTGCTGATCTCTGGGTTTCCCCACAAGACCTTCATATGCACAGGGACTAATGAGTCTCCTTAACTAGGCCCAGTTTGTAATCAGTGTCTCGAAGTGGTGTGAGATGGGATTTTTGACAGTAACCTGGTAGGAACAGAAGCTCTGCAATAATTTCCTTGCCAATTACAGGGGGAACAAGCTGCAGCTTTAGGGCTGGAGCTTGTCTGGAGCTGAGTGTCCCTTATCTGCTGCTTTTTTGGCAACAAAGCATAATTTACACCTAAATGTGCTCATTTCTCTTCTTCATTTTCTCTCTACCTCCCAAGCGTGAGATGCTTTTGTTTGGTTGTCCAGGAGCTTTTTCCTGGCTGTCAAAACCATCTTGCTGAGAGCCAATTTCAACACCTTCTTGTTTGGTGGCCACAAGGTCCTTTTAGAAACACGTGGGGCTCTGGAGCTGCTGTTTGATCATGAAACAAACCCAAACTCCCACCCCCCAAAAACCAAATCAGAAGATCAATTCTGAGAGGTGCAAAGTCCCCAACTCAGGATGTGCTGGAGATACTTCCCTGGCTTTGATTTCTTTTCTAGGGATGAGCAAAAATCAGTTTTGGAACCCAAAATGTCCCATTTTTCCAGCCTGGCAGAAACAGGTTTGATTTGGTCCCACCATTTGGTCGGGATTTCTCTCATTATTTGAACTCTTGAAAAATTTTTGTTGGCCAACAAAGATGGAAGCCTTGGGGATTTCTGAAACCCTCACGTTTCTCCCCAAAATGCTGGGAGACTTTGGGAAAATTCGCCCTTTTCTTTTTCTGAAAAGCCCAATAAATTAAATCCCTGTGAAATTCCCTTTATGATGAGGCAGGGGCAGGACTGAAGGTGTTGGAAAAGGTGGCTGGAATGAAAGGAGGAGAAAAATGAAGTGAAAGACATTCCCCCTGGTCCCATCCCTCCCTGCCCTTGTCCCAAGTCCCTCCCCAGCTTTCCTGGAGCCCCTTCAGGCACTGGAAGCTGCTCTAAGGTCTCCCTGGAGCCTTCTCTTCTCCAGGCTCAACACCCCAACTCTCCCAGCCTGGCTCCAGAGCAGAGCTGCTCCAGCCCTCCCATCATCTCTGTGGCTCCTCTGGCCTCTCTCCAGCAGCTCCATGTTCTGATATTGGGGGCTCCAGAACTGGACCCAGCCCTGCAGAGGGTCTCACAAGAGCTGAGTAAAGGAGGAACCTGAGCATCTTCTGAACCAGCAGAAACGAGGGAAAAAAGCAGTATTAAAAAAAAACATAAAACATCTCATGTAGAATTTGGGCAAAAAGGAGCCTGTGGCAGCAAAGTGAGGTTTGAGTGTCACTGCTTGGCTTGTGTGACACTGAATGGTCAAGGAAAAAAGGAGATGGTTTAAACTGGAAGAGGGAGCTGGGGGTTGGAGATGAGGAGGGAATTCTTTGGTGTGAGGGTGGTGAGAGCCTGGCCCAGGTTGCCCAGGGAAGCTGTGGCTGCCCCATCCCTGGGGGTGTTGAAGGGCAGGTTGGATGGGGCTTGGAGCAACCTGGGCTGGTGGGAGGTGTCCCTGCCCATGCAGGGGGTTGGATCTGGATGAGCTTTCAGGTCCCTTTCAATCCAACCCATTCCAAGGTGCTATGAGGCAGCTGAGTGAGCTCTTCTCTTTCTTCACATTTTATTTCCTGTGTTTCCCCCTTGGTTCCCTATGGGCTGAATCTGTTCCCCAATTATCCCTTCACAGGTCCCTGGAGAAGTCATCAACACCCTGTGTGGGTACAGGACACTGGATAAAGAGGTAACCCAGGCTTTTTCCTACAGGGTTTGCTTCCCCAAACCCCCTAAAATGTACTGTTTATCTGCAGAGAAGCTCTTCCCCACCAAGGGTGTCACTTATTGCAGACCTATCAATATCTAAGTATGAATTGCTTGGGTGTTGGTCAGGCTGGCTGAGCACAGGTGGGCTCATGACACCTGTGGGTGATCCCTCCAAGCTTTGACATGGCCTTTCTGGGAACAAGCAGCTCCCTCCTGCATCAGCCCAGGGAAATGCTGGTCCTGAGTTGAGTTTTGAAGCTTGATGGTGGGAGAGAGGCTGATATTGAGGCCCTCAGGGGTGACAATCAGGCTGGATCCCACCAGTGTCTCCATCCATGTGGTCTGTAGCTACCGAGGATGGTTTTTTGTCCAAACAAAAACCACCATGGAAAGGCCTGATCCTAAGGAATCCCAAACACTTCTCATGTCTCTCCTTTGGCTTCCAAGTAGGAGCAAATATAAGGAAAGAACATCTCCCCCCAGACCCAACCAGCCCCTGAGCCCCATGGTGCTTCTTTCCATTCTCCTTCCAGCGCCTGGAGCTGCTCGAGGTGATCCACGTGCGCGGCTGCATCCACGCCGTGGGACTCTGGCTCAAGGACAACTTTGAGGCCACTCTGGGCATTGTTTGCTCCCTGCTGCTTCCACAGGTATGTGATGGATCCAACTGGTATCTGCTTGGCTTCTTTCATAGAGCCATGGTGGTTGGAAAAGAGCTCAAGTCCAACTGTCCACCAAGGAGGTCAAAACAGTGACCACCAAACGCCACCGCCATCACCATACCCACTGAACTATGCCCTGAAGTGTCCCATCCAGAAGAGGAGGCTCCAGGGAGACCTTAGAGCAGCTTCCAGTGCCTGAAGGGGCTCCAGGAAAGCTGGGGAGGGACCTGGGACAAGGGCAGGGAGGGATGGGATGAGGGGGATGGATGAAAAGTGGGAGAGGGAGCTGGAGGTTGGAGATGAGGAGGGAATTCTTTGGTGTGAGGGTGGTGAGAGCCTGGCCCAGGTTGGGCAGGGAAGCTGTGGCTGCCCCATCCCTGGGGGTGTTGAAGGGCAGGTTGGATGGGGCTTGGAGCAGCCTGGGCTGGTGGGAGGTGCCCCTGCCCATGCAGGGGGTGGGACTGGATGGTCTTTCAGGTCCCTTTTGACCTTCACCATCCCATGGTTCTATGATTCCCAAGTAAGAGTCTCGCCTTGTGGGCTGTAACATTGGGTTTGCTGCTGTGAAGTTATTTGGTGATCATCTAATGGAGTTTTATTGAAATGGAAATGAACTTATTTTAATGTTGTATGTGTTTCTGCTTGAAGAGACAGGTAGAATTGTGGTTGGGTAAAGCAGAAGCTGCTGGGGTAATAACTTTTCAAAGGATGGACTTTCCTCTTGAGCTCTTAGATGGTCTCAAGGAAAATCCAAGATGGGGGCAGCAGTTTGTGCCCAATCCTAGGTGGTTCCCCCACATTTCTCAAGTGCTTTTCCCAAATCAAGCACATGAGGAATGGGCTTGTGCTCTGCCACCACCAGGAGATGTAATAGGCACAGAAATGGGGTGAGAAAGTGCAGGAATAGAAGCCACCACTTCCATCTGCTCCTAGAATGTTGAGAAGCCATTAGAGAAGCCTCCTGTTGCCTTCCTCGTTAATGTGTCACCACAGGGCTCCTAATTGGGAAGGATGGGGGACAAACCAGAGCTGGCAAGAAGGATTGCTGAGCCTTGATGAATATCAAGTGCTTCTGAGCAAGTGGTGTGATTTTTTTCTGGCGTGCCATTAAATGCTCTTCAGATGAAGAACCTCGTTCTTCCCATCTGCTCATGGTTTCCAGGTTTTAAATAGAAATCAGATTGGATTCTGTCAAGTTTTGGAGGGAATGAAGTTATAAATGACCATCTGCTTTGCCAGGAGCTGTCAGCCCAGAAACAGCTTCATCCCCAGCAGCTGCCAGTAGAAAGCTTGAGAGGGAGAATATTGTCCTTGCATTGCCTATCCAAGGGGGGAAGGGTGGGGAGGTGACAGTGCCTTGAGCTTTGGGAAGAGGAATGCATTGACACCAAATGGTCCCTGGGTGCCTTCCAACTCAAACCATTCAGAACCACCAGAGCCTCAAGTATGAGGGTGGTGAGAGCCTGGCCCAGGTTGGGCAGGGAAGCTGTGGCTGCCCCATCCCTGGGGGTGTTGAAGGGCAGGTTGGATGGGGCTTGGAGCAGCCTGGGCTGGTGGGAGGTGTCCCTGCCCATGCAGGGGTTGGAACTGGATGATCTTTAAGGTCCTTCCATCCCAAACCATTCCATGATTCAGAACCACCAGAGCCTCAAATATGAGGGTGGTGAGACATTGGCTGCCCATGGGGGTTGGAACTGGATGAACTTTAAGGTCCCTCAGACCCAAACCAGCCCGGGATTCTGCGCTTCTATAAAACCAAATTATTAATTCCTTCCTGGTGACTTGGAAACTTTAAATAACCCCCTAAGAAACTCCCCAGCAGATCTCAGTGACCGTTGACACCAGGAGGAGGAGGGAATCAGGGAGAAAAGCAGCTTCTTGTTATTTTTTAGCCTCCTCTGGGCTGCCTGTTGTTAACAAGCTGCTCTGCAGCAGCGCCTGCCCGCGTCGTGCAGCGCAATCAAATCAGTGCTTGCCGTGGAAGTCTCTTTACTTAGGGGAAACATGGAGCCCGTGGTGCCAGGGATATTGGATCCATCAATATTCCTGACAGCTTTTTCTGGTTTCATTAAGTGAAAGAGGAGGTTTCAAGGCAAGCTGGAATGAAAGGTGGTTCATAACTCAGAGGAGAGCGAAGGCTGAGGGAGGCAAACTGCTTCCTGAGGACTCGGGGTCGTGTTATTCCATTCCAAGAATCCCCAGCTGAACCAGAACACTCCATCCTGCTAAACTGGGAACACCAGGAGAAGAAAAACAAGGGGGTTGACATCCCTGACCCTGGCTGGTTTTGCAGAGCTGGGGTTAATTTGCATCCAGTGGGTTGTAAACACAAATCTTGCCTGAATTACCGGGTGGTTTAAGGAGGAATAAAAATGACACGATCGGCTTAAAATGTCTCATTTCAAAGGGTTTTCTTGCTCAGGCCTTTCAGTGTCTCAGCAGCAGGATTTTAATCTGCCTGGTGATGAGAGGCTGATTGAAGTGAACATAATGCTGAAGCTTGACATACATTTAAATATTATCTAAAAGCTTTTAAAATCCTCAAGGCTCTGCTGGCAAATGTGGATTTGCACAATCTGATTATCTGGATCGGACAGGATCTGGTTGCTCTAGGGTTGCTCTTGGAGATTGAGCCATCTCCAAGCATCATCTTGGCTTCCTGCATCCCTGCCTGGGGGTTCCTGTAGCTTTTTGGGGCAGAAGAGGGGGTGGATATGGGATGGGAGAGCAGGACCCTGGCTGGTGTTTCCATGGCAAAGTCTTTGGTTTGGGTATTTTTCCTTCTCCATCAAAAAGCAGCTCCAGCCCAGGTGACTGCCACATTCCACAGCCCAATTTTGGTCCTGCTCCTGTTCTCAGGTACCAAATTTGAGTCAGAGATGAATGCCTGCCTCCACACCCTGGGCTCTTCTCCCAGGCAATTAGTGACGGAATGAGAGGACAAGGCTTGAAGCTGCACCAGAGGATGTTTAGGTTGGATATCAGGAAGCACTTCCTCATGGAAAGGGTGATCAGACATTGGGATGGACTGCCCAGGGAAGTGGTGGAGTCACCATCCCTGGAGGTGTTTAAGGAAAGGCTGGATGTGGCACTTGATGCCATGATCTAGTCCATCCAGAAGAGTTTCCAGGGCTGTAAGATAACCTGATTTCAGGCCATTTGGATAACAGAAGTTGCTCCTGAAATGTTCCTAGGCTTCCGTCTTTCTCTCAGCATCCACAGTTGTCTTTCCCAGCAAAGAATCTTAATGGCACAGACCCAGGAATTCTCTAATTCCTGCCCTTGGGAAAGCCCTGCCAGCTGTGGCCACCTTGTCCCTTCTTTTGGTGATTAATCCTGTTGGTAGTAATTAAATGGGATGTCAAATAATCAAGGTGCTTTTCAAAGATCAGTGGGTGCAATTAGGGTGGTGGGGAACAGAGCAAGCTCCAAATGGGGACTTCAAGGAAGGACTCTCCATGCTGGGAGAGCATCTGGAGGGATATGCTCTTCTGCTTCTCCTGACTTATTGAAGGAGGAACTTTTGATCCAGAGGGTTCCCCTTGGGATCCAGTTGCAGGTGAATTTGGGAAGGCAAAATCAATATTGAGCTGGTTTAGGGTGGCTTCTGTACAAGGTGCAAGAGGCCAGGTTGAATGGGGCTTGGAGCAACCTGGGCTGGTGGGAGGTGTCCCTGCCCATGCAGGAGGTGGGACCTAGATGATCTTTCAGGTCCCTTCCCACCCAAACCACTCTATAGTGGGTTATTTCTCCACCTCTGAAAGCCAAAGGAATAAACCCTGGTGGGGTCTGTGTTCTCCTCTTGGTTTCCAGCTCACTGGGTGACACTTGATCTCATCTGCTTTTTCCCTGGGGAGTTTTTACCTCCATTTTCAGCCTCCCCTGGGCAAACCCCTCTCCCCCCAGCTTGTCCCTTTCCACCATGAGATAAAATGGTCCCTCATTTAAGATGCTTTACAACTCTTTTCTCTCATCTCCATTTATCTTGCTCTTAATGTTCCCCCTTTCCAGCCTGTTTCATGGATCAATAGGACCCGGGGAAATGATGAATAACATTTTTCAGCTCCAAAACCAACACGACAACCCAGGAGATCCCAGCTGCTGGAGGCTGTAGGTGCAGCTGAGTTATTGATTGACTCTTGGCTGCAAGGACCAGTGATGCAGAAAAATGGGTTCACTTCTAACCTGAAAAATGAGAGGAAAAACCCTGAGGCTTCAAGATTTTCTTGGCCTTCTCCATCCCCTCTCGTGCACTGAAAAGATCCATAAAGCTTCATTGTTTGTGTCCTGGTCCAAATATACTGGAGCATTTTAGGGTGGACATGAGGAGGAAATTCTTTGGTGAGAGGGTGGTGAGAGCCTGGCCCAGGTTGCCCAGGGAAGCTGTGGCTGCCCCATCCCTGGGGGTGTTGAAGGGCAGGTTGGATGGGGCTTGGAGCAACCTGGGCTGGTGGGAGGTGTCCCTGCCCATGCAGGGGGTTGGATCTACATGGTCTTTAAGGTCCCCTCCAACCCAGCCCATTCCATGACTCTATGAAGCATCCATGGCTTACAGGGAATAAACCTTTCCAAAGACCTGTAGTAAAGGTGGCTAAAGGGTTGGTAGTAAACATGCAGCTTGTGCTGAAAGTGCCCTGATTGTCCCCATGCCCCAGTGCTCAGATTGTCCCCATGCCCCAGTGCTCAGATTGTCCCCATGCCCCAACACTCTGATGGTCCCCATGCCCCTCTTTGGCACCTGCTCTGCCAAGAGCTCCTTAGCACAGCGTCCAGCAAAGAGACATCAGGTGAAATCAAAGCCCTGTCCTTGAAATCTGATGAAAATGTGTTTTTTTCCCCTCTGCCTCTGAAGATTTGAAGCTTATTTTTTAATTTCCTGACAGCCAGCAGGGAAATAGGAGGTAACCTGTGTGACAGGAGCCTGGACCTCTGCTGCTCTCTCTGCAGTGCTCGTGGTGATGTCCTGCTCAGTCACATCATGCTGTCAGGGCTGATGTGGGAAGCTGTGAGATGGATGTGGCCATAAATGAGTTTAGCAGAAGGTTCTTCTGGGAATTAGAATTGCAGAATCAGGGAATTGTTTTACTTGGAAAAGATCTAAGAGGTCATCAAGTCCAATCATTAAGCATTGTTGTTCTCTCTTGGTCCATAATCTGGTTTGGCTCCTGTTGGGGTGTCTCCAGAGAAGGGCAATGGAGAAGGGTCTGGAGAACTTGTGAGGAGCAGCTGAGGGAGCTGGGGGTGTCCAGGCTGGAGAGGAGGCTGAGGGGAGACCTTCTGCTCTGCAACTGCCTGAGAGGAGGTTGGAGCCAGGGGGGTCGGGCTCTGCTCCCCAGGAACAAGTGATGGGACAAGAGGAAACGGCCTCAAGTTGCCCAGGGGAGGTTTAGGGTGGATCTGGGGAACAGTTTCTCCATGGCAAGGATTGTCAGGCTCTGGCCCAGGCTGCCCAGGGCAGAGGTGGAGTCCCCATCCCTGGAGGGTTTTCCAAGCCCTGTAGAAGGTGCTGAGGGACATGGGGCAGTGGTGACCTTGGCAGTCCTGGGTTAACAGTGGGAGTAGGATGATCTTAAAAGTCTTTCCAACCAACAGGATTCTGTGATTTATGGAAGTTCAGGTGACAGCAGGAGACTTTCAGGAAGGGTTTGTGTGACTGTAGTGGCCTCAACACTTGTATTTTGCAGGTGATTGGCCTGGTGATGGCTTGGCTGTATTGGCAAAAGCTTGATGAGATCTACTCCAAGCTGGACACCGTGGACTTCAGGATCCTGGAGATGAGGGATTTCAGCTTCGGGGCAGTGGATCTGAGTGGTGCAGGATGGTGCTGGTGCTTGCCCAGGGAAGGAGGTTACATCCCTGTCAATGCTGAGGAGGAGGAGGAGGAAGGGACCATCTGCCACAGCCAAGTGTGAGAAGGTGAAGGACTGAAAGGCTCAAAGGCTGATGGTGAAGGTGGAAATAACGTGAATTATCTTCTCAGGGTCAGGAGGGACTTTGGGGGGAAACTGAAGTGACACTGGAAGGTTCTAAAAAAATGCAATGGACTCTGTGGGCACAGGAGCTCCCTGGGGCTCCTCTTGCTGCCTGAACTGTTTGGACATCTGCTTCTTGGGGGGGTTTGAAGAGGTTTTTTTCCACAATAAATGTGAATTCTGTTGGGTTTTGTAAAATGGCTTCTTGTGGCGCTGCCTCTCGGGGAGGGAAGTGGCTCCTCACCCTTTGGGGTGTCTTCAAAGTTGGATTGAGCCTCATCTCCTGCAAACTAGGAGCTTTCTCTTAGGTCCCCAGGTGGGTCCAGGTCCCAGAGAGATGAAGCTAAAGGAAACAAATGAAAAACAAACAAACAAACAAAAGGAGCAGTTTGTTGCTCCTTTCCCGATGGCTTTTCCAGGAATTAAATCCCCAGGGAGGCACAACTTCCATCTTGCTCCCCTCATGGAGGGGGAAAACACCCATTTCTGAAGGGTTCCATGAGCAACCACTTCAGTTTTTATTCCCAGTGCATGGAAGAGGAGATCCCAGCAATTTTAACACTGAAAATGGTTTTGTTGGAGCAACCTGGGGGTGGTGGGAAGTCCCCTCTGCTGCTCACCCACCTCTGATCACCAGGTAGGGAATTCAAAACCCTTTCATTTCTTCTATTTATTTTAGAAATAGAACATCTTTGTAAGAAATATTTATATTTTTTTTAGCACAACTTGGTGATCAGGGCAGCAATTCCCACCTGGACCCCTCAGGATATGGTGTGTGTCCCATCCAACCAGTGAGTTGAGCTGTGTTGGGAAATGATCTCAAGAGAGAGGAACAGTCTCCAAAGTGAAATGCAAAGAAAAGAAAGAAGTGGGTTTTTTTCTAAAGAGCAACGTGGCTGCAGAGCTGGGTTGATTAGTGATGCTTTTAATTATTAAGGGTATTTTGGAAGCTTCAGGCTGGCACTTCATTTGGATGCCGGAGCAGAAGGTGGGTGAGACCTGGTTGTGTGAGCACCGGCCTTTGTCTCCCTCTTCTGACCGTTTCTAGGCTTGAGCTTTTTAACTAACCGAGGAACAATCCCCAGCACAGGCCTGCAAAAACACTTTTTCAACCCGTTTTTTTTCCACAAATCCCCTTGGAAATGGAGCTGAGAACCACAGGAGCTGAGCAGTGGGTTTGTGAAGGATTTAAAAATTGGGTTGGCTCTTCTATTTTGGGAAGTGGAGAAGGTAAAACCTGCCCCAGGGGAGTGGGGTGGGCACAGTTTTGGGTGGTTACTTTCCCCTGGGCAGCTTGTGGGCTCCAGGGATTTTGCTTTTCTTCCTTCTTCCCAGAAATGATTTCATAAAGCTTTAAGAACTACTGATCCATCAAAGCTGATCAATCCCCCCTGCTCTTTGTATTCCCATTTATTTAAAGAGAGAGAATTAATTGTTATGGTTTTTATTTCCAGGACAAGCAGCCACCAACAGTTTGACACCCTTTTCCTGCCTGAGGCTGGGTGGTGTGGGCAGCAGCAACCAGGTGGGATGCAGGAGGTTTTACTCCATACCTGGATGAAGAAAATGGCAAGTGAGAAGTCAGTCCATGCACCCAGGTCCCTCATTCCCATGATCTGCAAATTCAGGGGAGATGGGAAAGGTGGATTGAAACAAGAGCATGGAATCATGAGTGCATTTTGTTGCAGCTTTTCTTTTTAGGAACATGTCTCAGAATTCCCAGGAATGCTGGAAAGACTCCCTCATTCACCCTCAGTTTTGCTTTTTGCTGCTTTGCTCCTGACCTGACCCATGGAAGAACAAATCAAATCAAACAGGAGCTGGGGAGAAAATGGGAGCTTTAAAAATACCTCCAGAGGGTGTGAGGAGAGGGGACCAGGCTCTGCTCAGGGGTGTCCAGGGCCAGGAGAAGGGGCCATGGGCAGGAGCTGGAAGGTGGGAAGTTCCATCTGAAGCTGAGGAGGAACTTGTTGGCTGTGAGGGTGGCAGAGCCCTGGGCCAGGCTGCCCAGAGAGGCTGTGGAGGCTCCTTCTCTGGAGACATCCCAACCCCAGCTGGAGGTGTTCCTGTGGGACCTGCTGGAGGTGACCCTGCTCTGGCAGGGGTTGGGTGGATGATCTCCAGAGGTCCCTTCCCACCCCAGCACCCTGTGATTCAGGGATAAAGGATCCAACAGCTTTTGCTGCTGAGGCTCCAGGTTGTGCCACCAGATATTCTCCCCAGAGGTGAGAGAAAATCCCAGAGGTGTCCCTGCCCATGCAGGGGAATTGGATCTAGATGATGTTTAAGGTCCCTTCCAACCCAAACAACTCTGGAATCCTGTGATTCTATGATCTCAGTTGACCTTAAAGCCCAAAGGTTGATTTCCCAGACCTTGATTATTTGTTTCATGACGCGGTGGCTGTGACGAAGGGCCAGGAGCTGCTTTGATGGGGATTTATTGATGTCCTGTTAAAAGGCAGAGCAGAGGTCAGGAAGCCAGGCATGAAACAGAGCAGGGAGCTGCTGGAGAGTCCAGAGGAGCCATGGAGATGATCCAAGGGCTGGAGCAGCTCTGCTCTGGAGCCAGGCTGGGAGAGTTGGGGTGTTGAGCCTGGAGAATAGAAGGCTCCAGGGAGACCTTAGAGCAGCTTCCAGTGCCTGAAGGGGCTCCAGGAAAGCTGGGGAGGGACTTGGGACAAGGGCAGGGAGGGATGGGATGAGGGGGATGGATGCAAACTGGGAGAGGGAGATGGAGGTTGGAGATGAGGAGGGAATTCTTTGTTGTGAGGGTGGTGAGAGCCTGGCCCAGGTTGGGCAGGGCAGCTGTGGCTGCCCCATCCCTGGGGGTGTTGAAGGGCAGGTTAGATGGGGCTTGGAGCAGCCTGGGCTGGTGGGAGGTGTCCCTGCCCATGCAGGGGGTTGGATCTTTAAGGTCCTTCCAACCCAACCCATTCCATGACCTCTGGAAGAGAACTGGGCACACTTGTTTGACCAACAACTTGCTTTTCATGAAGTCAACCTCACTGATATTCAACACACGAAGACATGGAAATTAGGAAAGAATTTGATGTGCAACCTCAGCAAAAAAATCCACCAAACCTGTATTTGATGGCCCAGGGGCTGATTCCTTTGTCCCCAGGGCTTTTAGGAGCTTTCCCCTGCTGGTTATGCTTCTCCACTCCCTCCTGAAGAATTTCTATCCATTCCTTAGATGAGATGTAGGTGATAATGCACAGAGACAAAAAAACAGAAACAGTTTTCCTCCCAAATCCTTGGTGATTGAACCCAAACTGATTAAAAAATCCCCAAAAACCCCAGAAGATGCAGATCCTACAAGCTGGGGATGGACAACTTGAATTTTCCTCCCTCCCACTGCTCTGATATCTAGAGCCCATCACTGCACAAGAGCAGATCTGTGCTGGCTGGAATGTCCCACCCCCTCCAGAGGTCCCTTTGCATCCCATGATGCCTTTTTGCTCCCAAAGTCAATCAACATTCCCCAAAATCCATTTGAACCTGGGAGCTACAGAGCAGTTGTCAGGAGGCGTCAATACGATGGTTGCAAGAGCAGCTTCATCTCAAGGCAACCAGGGCTCCCACCAGCACCTCTGATTTTGACCCCATGGCCTCATCCTCTGATTTCTGAGCAGTTTCTGAGGGGAACTCAAGGTGAGTTTATTCTAGAATGATTTATTAAATGATGAGCTTATTATTGTTATCATCATCTGGGTTTTTTTGGAGCTGAGAGCCGGGTGGGGGTTTAATTGGCAAAGCTGACAGGGCTCTTCTTCCCCTCCCCTTATTTCTAGAGCTCTTCTGGTCATGTTTTCAAACAGCTCTTGTCTGTGTCCTGCTTGTGTTTGGGTGCAGGGAGTTTAGGGGAGGGAAAAAGCTGGTTAAAAATTCAAGAAAACAATTCAAAGATCAAATCCCAGGTTGTGTGACTGATAAATCAGCCACAATGGGTTCGTTTAGCTGTGGATCTAATGAAGTGTGGGTTATTTTTGCTGCTCCAGAGAGCTGGGGTAGAGCTAAATTGTAAAAACTGAAGGCTATTTCTTCCCTAGCCAGACCCAGCTGAAGGGTTGAACGTCCCTGTCCCTCACCCAGGGAGCCCAACCCAGCACTGGAGATCGTGGATGAACCTCTTGGAGGGGTTTTGTGCCACTTCTTCAATCTCTTAGAAGGTACCAGGTCATTTTTAGAGCAAAAAAATATTTATGCCTGCAGGTGGGTGGGTGATTTCTGTTTCTTCTCCCAGAACCAGCTTCCAAAAATCCTCAGAATTAGCCCCAGAATGTTATTCCCAGGCAGCCAAGGCCTGTGACTGCTGTTGTCCAGCAGATACCTCCAGGTTTGGGACAGGATTTTCCAGCCAGAGCTGTTTGGCCCTAAAATAAATGGATCCTTACACCTCTGCAGAAAGTCTTGGATTACTGTGATCCAAAAAAAAAAAATGAATCCCAAATCCATTCAATCCAGAGGTGTCTTCAAGCAGCAACTCCTGGATCAGTCTAAAGATGGTCTTTGCCTTGGGGGAAGATGGGTTGATGAAGTTGGCAACCTGAGCAGAGCCAACCCAGCCAACCTGCACCCTTCCAGCTCCTGAGGTGCACACCCTGCTGGCTTTTGATTTTTCACCTCTTTGGCTTGAATTGAGGTTTTTCATCCCAAAAATAAGGCAGTGATATTGCCATGGATGGAAGCAGCTGGAGTGGAGAGGCTGGTTCTCCGACCGCTCTCAAAGTGACTTTGAGAGGCATCGACCCAACTGCCATGAATAGTAACTGTTCTCCCACCCAAGTCAAGTGTGAAAGGCAATCATTGGAGGTCAACTAATTAGGAGGTTAATTAGCATTCGGCGCAAAATCCAAAGGAACTTGTATGGGGAGTAAACCAGGTTTGAAGGAATTTGTCTGGAAGCAGCAACGTGTGGAGGTGGAACATCTGGGCGGAGGGGATGGGGAAAAATGAACTTTGCTTCTGCAACCCCCCTTTTATCTGTGCAGCCCCCCCCAAATTCAAGGGGTGTTTATTGCCCCCCATTAGCTGAGCTGGTGTCTGGCACAGCTCTGCAATCATCCCTCACCTTCTCTCACACCTTCCTCTGAGCAGTGGAAATAAGAGGCTGGAGATGGAACCCTGGGGTTGGAATTCATCCGGGTTTTCCTAAATATGGGGAGGGGTGAGTTGGAGTGTGGGCAGGGCTGGGAGCCCAGGGGTGAGTGAGATGTGGGGGCTTCCAGGAGGTGCCAGAGGTGCATCCTCAGGGAATATCCCAGCTTCCCAGTGCATCCTCACCCCAACTGGGAGGGACCCTGTGACTGCCCATAGCGGGGGAACCGCAGGGCCCATCCCCTGCCCAGACCCTTTTCAGTCTCTCTCCTGTCTCCTCCCTGTCGCTCAGCTCAGCAGCAGGACCATGCTGGAGGATGAGGATGGGATGAGTGAGAGGGGGCTCAGCAGCTCCAGGAGGAGATATGACGATGAGGAAGGTGAGTGAACCCCCAGGGATCCCCCAAGAGCCAGTGACGTCTTCCCTGCCAGCCATCCCATCCCATCTCCTGGTGCTCAGCTCAGCACATCCCCTGGGAAAAAAAAAACCTGTGGGTGTTTGAAGCCTGGTGGCAAGAAGACAAATATCTCCTTGGCTTCTTTTTGCAAATGAAACCCTCTCTAGATCATTATCTAGATCTAGATCATACTGTGCTTAAAATTCTTTTCCAGTGCCTGAAGGGGCTCCAGGAAAGCTGGGGAGGGACGTGGGACAAGGGCAGGGAGGGATGGGATGAGGGGGATGGATGCAAACTGGGAGAGGGAGATGGAGGTTGGAGATGAGGAGGGAATTCTTTGTTGTGAGGGTGGTGAGAGCCTGGCCCAGGTTGGGCAGGGCAGCTGTGGCTGCCCCATCCCTGGGGGTGTTGAAGGGCAGGTTAGATGGGGCTTGGAGCAGCCTGGGCTGGTGGGAGGTGTCCCTGCCCATGCAGGGGGTTGGATCTTTAAGGTCCTTCCAACCCAACCCATTCCATGACCTCTGGAAGAGAACTGGGCACACTTGTTTGACCAACAACTTGCTTTTCATGAAGTCAACCTCACTGATATTCAACACACGAAGACATGGAAATTAGGAAAGAATTTGATGTGCAACCTCAGCAAAAAAATCCACCGAACCTGTATTTGATGGCCCAGGGGCTGATTCCTTTGTCCCCAGGGCTTTTAGGAGCTTTCCCCTGCTGGTTATGCTTCTCCACTCCCTCCTGAAGAATTTCTATCCATTCCTTAGATGAGATGTAGGTGATAATGCACAGAGACAAAAAAACAGAAACAGTTTTCCTCCCAAATCCTTGGTGATTGAACCCAAACTGATGAAAAAATCCCCAAAAACCCCAGAAGATGCAGATCCTACAAGCTGGGGATGGACAACTTGAATTTTCCTCCCTCCTACTGCTCTGATATCTAGAGCCCATCACTGCACAAGAGCAGATCTGTGCTGGCTGGAATGTCCCACCCCCTCCAGAGGTCCCTTTGCATCCCATGATGCCTTTTTGCTCCCAAAGTCAATCAACATTCCCCAAAATCCATTTGAACCTGGGAGCTACAGAGCAGTTGTCAGGAGGCGTCAATACGATGGTTGCAAGAGCAGCTTCATCTCAAGGCAACCAGGGCTCCCACCAGCACCTCTGATTTTGACCCCATGGCCTCATCCTCTGATTTCTGAGCAGTTTCTGAGGGGAACTCAAGGTGAGTTTATTCTAGAATGATTTATTAAATGATGAGCTTATTATTGTTATCATCATCTGGGTTTTTTTGGAGCTGAGAGCCGGGTGGGGGTTTAATTGGCAAAGCTGACAGGGCTCTTCTTCCCCTCCCCTTATTTCTAGAGCTCTTCTGGTCATGTTTTCAAACAGCTCTTGTCTGTGTCCTGCTTGTGTTTGGGTGCAGGGAGTTTAGGGGAGGGAAAAAGCTGGTTAAAAATTCAAGAAAACAATTCAAAGATCAAATCCCAGGTTGTGTGACTGATAAATCAGCCACAATGGGTTCGTTTAGCTGTGGATCTAATGAAGTGTGGGTTATTTTTGCTGCTCCAGAGAGCTGGGGTAGAGCTAAATTGTAAAAACTGAAGGCTATTTCTTCCCTAGCCAGACCCAGCTGAAGGGTTGAACGTCCCTGTCCCTCACCCAGGGAGCCCAACCCAGCACTGGAGATCGTGGATGAACCTCTTGGAGGGGTTTTGTGCCACTTCTTCAATCTCTTAGAAGGTACCAGGTCATTTTTAGAGCAAAAAAATATTTATGCCTGCAGGTGGGTGGGTGATTTCTGTTTCTTCTCCCAGAACCAGCTTCCAAAAATCCTCAGAATTAGCCCCAGAATGTTATTCCCAGGCAGCCAAGGCCTGTGACTGCTGTTGTCCAGCAGATACCTCCAGGTTTGGGACAGGATTTTCCAGCCAGAGCTGTTTGGCCCTAAAATAAATGGATCCTTACACCTCTGCAGAAAGTCTTGGATTACTGTGATCCAAAAAAAAAAAATGAATCCCAAATCCATTCAATCCAGAGGTGTCTTCAAGCAGCAACTCCTGGATCAGTCTAAAGATGGTCTTTGCCTTGGGGGAAGATGGGTTGATGAAGTTGGCAACCTGAGCAGAGCCAACCCAGCCAACCTGCACCCTTCCAGCTCCTGAGGTGCACACCCTGCTGGCTTTTGATTTTTCACCTCTTTGGCTTGAATTGAGGTTTTTCATCCCAAAAATAAGGCAGTGATATTGCCATGGATGGAAGCAGCTGGAGTGGAGAGGCTGGTTCTCCGACCGCTCTCAAAGTGACTTTGAGAGGCATCGACCCAACTGCCATGAATAGTAACTGTTCTCCCACCCAAGTCAAGTGTGAAAGGCAATCATTGGAGGTCAACTAATTAGGAGGTTAATTAGCATTCGGCGCAAAATCCAAAGGAACTTGTATGGGGAGTAAACCAGGTTTGAAGGAATTTGTCTGGAAGCAGCAACGTGTGGAGGTGGAACATCTGGGCGGAGGGGATGGGGAAAAATGAACTTTGCTTCTGCAACCCCCCTTTTATCTGTGCAGCCCCCCCCAAATTCAAGGGGTGTTTATTGCCCCCCATTAGCTGAGCTGGTGTCTGGCACAGCTCTGCAATCATCCCTCACCTTCTCTCACACCTTCCTCTGAGCAGTGGAAATAAGAGGCTGGAGATGGAACCCTGGGGTTGGAATTCATCCGGGTTTTCCTAAATATGGGGAGGGGTGAGTTGGAGTGTGGGCAGGGCTGGGAGCCCAGGGGTGAGTGAGATGTGGGGGCTTCCAGGAGGTGCCAGAGGTGCATCCTCAGGGAATATCCCAGCTTCCCAGTGCATCCTCACCCCAACTGGGAGGGACCCTGTGACTGCCCATAGCGGGGGAACCGCAGGGCCCATCCCCTGCCCAGACCCTTTTCAGTCTCTCTCCTGTCTCCTCCCTGTCGCTCAGCTCAGCAGCAGGACCATGCTGGAGGATGAGGATGGGATGAGTGAGAGGGGGCTCAGCAGCTCCAGGAGGAGATATGACGATGAGGAAGGTGAGTGAACCCCCAGGGATCCCCCAAGAGCCAGTGACGTCTTCCCTGCCAGCCATCCCATCCCATCTCCTGGTGCTCAGCTCAGCACATCCCCTGGGAAAAAAAAAACCTGTGGGTGTTTGAAGCCTGGTGGCAAGAAGACAAATATCTCCTTGGCTTCTTTTTGCAAATGAAACCCTCTCTAGATCATTATCTAGATCTAGATCATACTGTGCTCTGGTCAGACCCCACCTAGAATACTGTGTATAGTTCTGGGGCCCTCAGCACAAGAAAGATCTAGACCTGTTGGAGAGGGTCCAGAGAAGGGCCATGGAGATGCTGGGAGGGCTGAAGCAGCTCTGCTCTGGAGCCAGGCTGGGAGAGTTGGGGTGTTCAGCCTGGAGGAGAGAAGGCTCCAGGGAGACCTTAGAGCAGCTTCCAGTGCCTGAAGGGGCTCCAGGAAAGCTGGGGAGGGACTTTTCATCTTAGAAGATAGTGATAGGACCAGGGGTGATGGTTTTAAACTGAGAGAGAGGAGATTTAGGTGAGATATTAGGAACAAATTATTCACTCTGAGGGTGGTGAGGAGCTGGGATGGGTTGCCCAGGGAGGTTGTTGATGCCCCATCCCTGGAGGTTTTTAAGGCCAAGTTGGACAAGGTTTTGTGCAGCCTGGGCTGGTGGTTCCCTGCTCATGGCAGGGGGGTTAGAACTGGATGATCTTTAAGGTCCCTTCCAACCTTATCAATTCCATGATTCTCCTTCTCTCCCCTTTTTCCCAGATTACCACTCCATCTACATCGGGGTGCCGGTGTCCCGGGGCTACCGGCGCAAGCGGCGCCGCCGCAGGTCGGTGTCCAGCCGGGACAGGGCGAGCGAGGCCGAGCAGCCCGACGAGCGCCATGACCGCTCCGACACCGACGACGGCCACGGCTGCTCCGAGAGCAACGACAATGCCAGCAGGACCAGTGAGTGGCCCCCACTCCACCCACCCCTCCCACCCCCAGCCCCGAGGCTTCCCAAAAAACAAACCCAAACCCGACTGGGAGGGGGTTTTTGTGGCCTCGTTTAACCCAGGATTAAATTGCCTCCCACGGCGCTCGGGCCGGTGTTTGGTTTGAGCTCTGCTTTTTGACTTGATGCTTCCCTGATTTAGTTTTGACCCTGGATGTCTCTGAGAGCTGGGCATGGAATGGGAGCTGAGGCTGTTTGGGTGATGGATGGGGTAAAAAGAGGTTGCCCCTGGGAGGTTGCTCTTGCCCTTGGGAGTTTGCTTTTGCTCCTGGAAGGTTGTTCTTGCCTTTGGGAAGTTGCCTCTGCCTTTGGGAGGTTGCTCTTGCCTCTAGGAGGTTGCCCTTGCCCTTAGGACGTTGCCCTTGCCCCTGGGAGGTTGCCCTTTCCTTTAGGAGGTTGTTCTTGCCCTTGGGAAGTTGCTCCTGGGAGGCTGTCCCTGCCCCTGGGAGGCTGTCCCTGCCCCTGGGAGGCTGTCCCTGCCCCTAGGAGGTTGTCCCTGCCCCTGGGAGGTTACCCTTGCCTTTGGGATGTTGCCGCTGCCTTTGGGTTGTTGCCCCTGCCTTTGGGAAGTAAATCCAAGCCCAGCAGTCTCCCGGGGGGGGGGCGGTGCAGACATCCTGCAGGCATCACACCTTGTTCCCAACAATCTTTAGCCTGGGGGCTTTGCCCAGTCTGGTTAAATCTCCTTAACAAAGATTAACACTTTGCCCAGCAAAGCAGCTGTCGATCTCTTCTTGGGTTTGGGTTGGTGGGTTGTGGTTTTTTTCCACCCTCCCCCATTAGAACTTTGCAGTTGGTTTAACATCAGCAGAGCCTGGAGTGGCTCAGCAGAGCAGGCAGAGGCTCAGCTTGGCTTTTCCCTCCAAGGGAAAAAGTTGTCAAGGTTTGTTGTTTTTTTTTTTACACAGGGAGAGCATTTTAATTTGCCACAGGCTTTAAATGCCACCAGGATCTAACACTGGGCTGTCTCGGGGTGGAGGGGGGGGAGAAACACCTTTGATGGAGGAAAAACACCCCCAAAAAAGCCTCAACTCTGCAGCAGTCCCACTTTCCCCCAGGAAATCTCCCTCATTTGGATGTTTTCCATCCCCAAAAAACCATCTTGGAGCTTGGAGGGGCTTCTCCAGTCTCAGTCAGAGTGGGAAGCAAAAAAAAATACAACCCCCAAGCTGTGATTTCTGTCCTCCCCCCTCTCCCTCCCTCCATCCCTCTGCCACCCAAAGCGCTCACCTCTCCTACACGCATCCCGGTTGATTTGGTAACTTCCCGTCATGAGAGCCAAAGGAAAAGGAAAGTGCTTTATATTCTCTATAATCTGCTCCTTAAGCCTTGGGAGTTTAACAAGCCTGAGTGGATAAAGGAGGAAGTTTGGGGGTTTGGGTTTTTTTTTGGTTGGGGTTTGTGATTCTTTTTTTTTCCTACCGTGCGGCAAAGTTTCGGTTTAGCCGGGAAGAAATGGGGGGGAAAATGGAAACAATTCCAGGTAGGTTATTTCAGTTGGTCTTTGGTTTCCGTGGTGGGGGGACTCGGAGGGGGAAGAAAAGCTCCATTTTATTCATTTATTTCGTTTTCTCCTTTGCGTTTACCTTTGTAAAAGCAACTTGGAGCCTGTGTGGGGTTGGGTTGGGTGCTCGCTCGGGGCACCCAGCTCCAAAGCTCACCCCAGAAGTAGAACAGGGAGGGGGGAGGGTGGGCAGGGTTTGTCTCAGCTTCTGCTGCTCCCCAGGAGCAGAAAAGATGGTATTTGGAAGGAGAAAAATCTCCCAGATTTGTGGGTTTCTTGAACAGGAAGGGAGCATTTAATCCCACGGGGTGTGCACCCCAGTCTCCTATTTTTTGCGGGGAGAAGGGGCCCTGCTGAGCTGTGAAACCCCAGGAAAAGGCTGGAAAAGGACCACGACAGTGGATGGTGAATGTGCTGGAGCCTTAAATCAGGCTTAGTCCCACAGCCCTGCTGGGTTGCAAACCCAGTTCTCCCAGGCCCCCATTTTATCACCTTTTTTATTGTACCTGGAGCCAGGGCAGGATTTTTCATTGGGAAAAGCACCGTTAGGTGAGGTTTTGCTGCTGGATCCAGGCTGGGGTGTGAAGGGCTCTGTGCACCTCCAATGAAAGGATGTGTAAATCAATGTGACTGATCCATCTTGTCCAATTATCCATGGAAATGGGTCCATAAAATTCCTATTTCCCAAAAATTCTCCCCAGCCTTAATGCTGAGCTAATTCCTGCAGTCCCATTCAGCTCCACCGCGGCTGAAATCCTGGGGGAGGTTGGATGGGTGTAAAGCAGGAATCGTAGCTCAGGAGGCTTTTCCCATTGGAAAAGCTGGTTCAGGGAGGTACAGATCAGCTCTGAGCACCCATCCAACTGTGTCTTGCAAGAAGTAGGTGCTGATTTTGGGGTAATTTTGGGGGTTTTGGCCAGTGGTGCTGCAGCAGGTTTTAATCTTGCGTTGCTCAGAGGTACCAAACCCTGGCCTCAGGATATCCTCCCCAGTGAATACCTGCTGCTTCCCAGGATTAATTTAGGTGTTGAATCCAATTTCTAGGAGAAAAAAAATAATATATCCTGGGTATTTCTTTGGGCATGAAAGGGTCCTCCAAGCTGAATAAACCCCATGGATTTTGACTGCGTGGTGAAGCTGTTGGTTTAGCAACCGGCTCTTCGCTTGGGTGCTCAGAGATCAGTGTAGCCCTTCAACAGGGGGGGAAGATGGAGAAAAAGTTGAAAAACAAACCTCAGAAAAGCTCTTTCTGTGCAAAATTATCATTTGTGGTTTCCAGTAGACAAAGTGTGTGTCACAGCCCTGACACTCCAAAATGAGTCGCTGGTGGGATCGTCGGGCGGGTTGAAGCAGGAGAGACCCGTCGTTCCACCCACGAGGGGAAGAATTTGGGTAGAATTCAGAGCAGGAACCACCAATTTGAGGATTTGCAAAGCTCTGACCTGCTCCTGCAAAATTTTGGGTGGATGGTTGGACTCGGTAATCTTAGAGGTCTTTCCCAACCCTGTCCATTCTGTTAAAACTGCAACCCCCCTTTTTTCTCCCCAAATGCATCCAGAGATCCCACCTGAGATGGATATTTCCAGAAAACTCCTGGTTTTTAGTGGGTTTTTTTGTGCTCCAGCTCGTTGCATTTTGGGGTTTGCAGGAAGTTTGAAGTGCCTGCCAGGCATGTAACCCAACTCTACAATGAACAGGAATATTAATAATCACAATAATGAAGTTTATGGAGTGGAAGGGAGGACCTGACAACAAGGAGTCCTGGGAGTGGGGGTTTAAAGGGTTTAAGTGGTTAAGCAGCCTCATCCCAAAGCAAGGGGCATCTGATTCTTTCCAACTTCATCTGCTTTGGAGGGGGGACAGGACAATATTCCCATTTTTTTCCTCCACTCACACATGGCAATTTGATTACCAGCTTGCTTGGGTACCCAACTTCCCTCTTCCCAGGCTAGAGAACTGGAGGATTCTGCTAACAAAGACATTTTCCAAGCAGGATTCACTCCAGAAGAGGGTAAAGACCCAAGATTTAATTAAAAAGACCCAATTTCCATGGAGAAGCCTGGAGTAGGGCTGAGTTTAACCCCTTTTTTGGGGGTCCTATCCATGCCCAGAACATCCCAGTTCCTCCCTGCAACCAAATGGAGGCATTGCTAGAAAAGCTTTGGAAGCTGGAGAGGGTTAAGAGAAAAAACAAACCTGGCATTGTGGTGTTTTTTTCTTGGGAGAAGAAGGCAGGTTTGTCACCCTCCCATGGCCACCAGGAATGCATGGAAGATGAAAACCCCTTTTCCCACCAGGCAGGAGGTGAAGTGTCCCTGCTCCCCTTCCCAAAACACACCACGGGGAGGCAAGAAGTGCCTGTCCCAGCCTGGCTGGGTATTTGCAGCAAGAAGCTGGATTTTTCCTGCAGAAATGGGCAATCTGTGTTATCTCCCCTGAGTGACACACATTCCCCTCAGGGACCCAGCAGGAAAATGGGTGCTGAGCACCTGTGCATCCCAATATGTGGTGCTTGGGACTGTAAGGATCTGCTTGCTGATGTTGGCAGCTCCAACCTGGCCAAACCAGGCTCTGTGGTGGGGGAAATGTGGGACACCCCATGGGAACAGGGTGCATGATGCTCCTGGGAGGGGAATTTGACTGTATTTTAGAATCAATTTTGTGTATTTGATTATATTCCTCAATTCCCATCCTGGACCTGGGCAGCCTCCACTCATCCTTTCCACCAGCATCTCTTTGCACAGGGATTTTGGGATGTTATTCCTGAAGAGTTTCCCCCCTCCTCAGTGTCTCTCACCTTCACCATTTACCTCAAAATCTCCTTGTTTTTCTACCCCAACATCCTAATGTGCCCTACAGATCCCTTTTTATCATGGAATGGTTTGGGTTGGAAGGGACCTCAAAGATCATCCAGTCCCACCCCCTGCATGGGCAGGGACACCTCCCACCAGCCCAGGTTGCTCCAAGCCCCATCCAACCTGCCCTTCAACACCCCCAGGGATGGGGCAGCCACAGCTTCCCTGCCCAACCTGGGCCAGGCTCTCACCACCCTCACACCAAAGAATTCCTACCTCATCTCCAACTCCCATCTCCCTCTTCCAGTTTGAAGCCATCCCTTCTTGTCCCATCCCTCCCTGCCCTTGTCCCAAGTCCTTCCCCAGCTTTCCTGGAGCCCCTTCAGGTGCTCTAAGGTCTCCCTGGTCTCCTCATGTCCAACCTCAATCTCCCTTCAAACCGTGGATATCCGTGGACTCCAAAGAACCCTGTAGGAACAGGATCCCTCCAGATCTTTCCAGATGGGAATGGTGTGGGATCATCTGATCTCCAGCTGATGCTAAATCTCTTTATGTCCCCCCTCTTCCCTGGCAGTGTCTCCAGCTGCCGAGCGGCTCCGCTACATCCTGGGGGAAGATGATGAACCTCCCAACCCCACGCTCTTCACGGAGATGGACACACTGCAGCACGATGGGGAGGACATGGAGTGGAAGGAGTCAGCCAGGTGAGAGGGGGGAGATGCTTTGAGTGGAAAATGTGTCAGTTAGAACAGAGAATCACAGAATGTCAGGGGTTGGAAGGGACCTCCGAAGATCATTGAGTCATAGAATCATTAAGGTTGGAAGGGACCTTAAAGATCATCAAGTTTCAACCCCCGTGCCACGAGCAGGACCAAAAAAACTAGGGCAGGTCACACAGAAACATGTCCAGACAGGTCTTGAAAGTCTCCAGAGAAGGAGACTCCACAACCTCTCTGGGCAGCCTGGACCAGGGCTCTGTCACCCTCACAGGAAAGAAAGCACCAGGACAGGCTGTCCCAGAGGGGTGGGAAGGGACAACCAGTCCAACCCCTGCCAGAGCAGGGTCACCCCAGCAGATCCCACAGGAACACCTCCAGCTCGGGTTGGGATGTCTCCAGGGAAGGAGTCTCCACAGCCTCTCTGGGCAGCCTGGCCCAGGGCTCTGCCACCTTCACAGGACACAAGTTCTTCCTCATGTTGAGGTGGAACTTCCTGTGCTCAAGTTTGAGACCATTGCCCCTTGTCCTGTCATAGGGCACAAGTGACAAGAGGTTGTCCCTGCCTTCTTGAGGCCCTGTATTTATAGATGATTCATTAGGTCCCCTGTAAAGATCCCTAAATATCCCCAGGTGGAAATGGCATCAGGGAACAAACAGCATTTTTCATGAGGTTAAAAAAACTCAAAAACCTGAATTAGGGAAATGCAGAAAACATCACTTTCTTGGGGACTTTCATGGCGTCTGGAACCTGCTGAGGAGAAGGAGGAGGAAGGGAGGAAGATTTCCCATCTTCTCCCACTTCTCCCAGTGCTGGATCAACCCCAAAACTGGGACTTTTCTAATTCCCAGTTGCAGCCTGAGAGCAAAGCCCTGCAGGAAGTGCCGAGGGGGTGGAAAAAAACAGGGTAAAATCCTGGGAAAGTGCAAAATTGGAGCAGAGAACTGGGAAATGGGAACAGGGGACATGAAGGACATTGTTCCAGGTCTTTTTTTTTCCCACACACACTTTTTCTGGACAGGCCAAGAGTTAAAAGTGCTCCTGCCCCTCAAACAATAAGAATAAAAACCCACCCAGTGGACCTTGAGTAAAAGTCTTAGAGGAGCTGCAAGTGATGTTCACTTGATTCAATTAGGAGTTTATCCAAGTGTCAAATTCAGGTGGGATTTCCTCTTCCTAACCTCAGGGCCAGTAGAGTTGTGGGTTTTGGGGGAGTTTGCAAGGTTGGGGACCTTTGGGACTTCTTTTCAGTAGCACACAAAGGGTTTCCCAGCCCAGAGGTTTGCCTGAGGGATGAAAAACTGAGCAGGATCAGGCCCTGTGGGTGCTCATCTTATCTCTTGGGTTCTTACCACTAATATTTTGGAAAGCTTTAAGCACCCTCCTGGATGCCAACCCTGCTCAGGAGGCAGCAGCTCAGGGAGGCACTTGCTACGGTCCTTTTTTTTTCTCCCTCAATTTTGCGTTTCCTCATCCCCCAAAACCTGGGAAGGCAAAAAGATCAACACTTGTCTTGGGATTTTCATAGAATCATGGACTAGTTTGGGTTGGAAGGGACCTGGAAGACCATCTAGATCCAACCCCCTGCATGGGCAGGGACACCTCCCACCAGCCCAGGCTGCTCCAAGCCCCATCCAACCTGCCCTTCAACACCCCCAGGGATGGGGCAGCCACAGCTTCCCTGGGCAACCTGGGCCAGGCTCTCACCACCCTCACACCAAAGAATTCCCTCCTCATTTCCAACCCCCATCTCCCTCTTCCAGTTTGAAGCCATCCCTTCTTGTCCCATCCCTCCCTGCCCTTGTCCCAAGTCCCTCCCCAGCTTTCCTGGAGCCCACCAGGAGGCCACTATGAGGTCCCCCAATTTCACCCAGGGGGGCTTGAGATGGAGGTTTCCAAATTCCCCCTGGGAGGACGTTCCTCAACTCCTGGATTTCCACTCTCCAGCAAGGAGACATTTGGCCTCTTCAGCCCTGAGAGAGCAGCTCCTTGGTGGCAGCAGCAACTGCCCATGGCTAAATCCACCAGAAATGGCAAGAAAGGAGCTGAGCCCAGCAGGGAGTCGGGGGCTTTTGCTGTAGCCTTGGTGAAAACCTCACGAGATGTTGGTCCTGGGGCAAAGACACTGCTGGAAACGTGCCTGGAGTTCCGTACGTCGTGCCCTGAGCTGCCACCTTCTGCACACACTAATAACCCACTTTTGGCAGGAAAAAGAGGCAAAAAAAAAAAAAGGAGTAGGGATTAAATCAGTTTTGGATTGAGCACCAAAGGGGCTGGGACTGTGCTCCGGCGGGAAGCTTGAATTCCCTCCCAGTGGAAGCAGCGTTGTTTGAAGGGCTGGAGAAGGAGGTTCTGCAAGGAAAGCAGGATGGGGAGGTTTGGTGTGGTGGGCACTGGGGCTGAATTGTGGATTTTTGGGGGTTTTGTTCCCAGCACTCAGCATTTCTGGCACTCCCAGATAAATTGGTGGGGTTTTTTTAATAGGAAAAGACAATCTTTTCTCTCTGCAGCAGCGTTCTGATGGAGTCTCCTGCAGCCAATGCAGCCCTGGGCTCTCCCCACCAGCTATTCCCAAACCCCTTCTCTTCCTCCATCCCTTCAGTCTGTGCCCCCAGTGGTGGCAGGAGCCCAAATCCCAGTTGGACCAGTTAAAAGTTGGAAGGTTAAACCCCATGGAGGCTAATCCATGGAGCCTGCAAACCTCCTGTTAAGGAAAAGTAGCTTTTTTCCCCCAAATCGGTGTCTTGATAAGAGCCTCTTGGCCTCTCCAGAACCTGGAGCTGGGAGATACCAACCACCATTCCTGAGGGTGCTCTGAGGTCTTTAATTTGTAAAATTAAGGAAAATCTGTGTTATCTCCCTTGAGTGACACATGTTCCCCCAGGGACCCAGCAGGAAAATGGGTGCTGAGCACCCGTGCATCCCAATATGTGGTGCTTGGATCTGCTTGCTGATGTTGGCAGCTCCAACCTGGCCAAACCAGGCTCTGTGGTGGGGGAAATGTGGGACACCCCATGGGAACAGGGTGCATGATGCTCCTGGGAGGGGAATTTGACTGTATTTTAGAATCAATTTTGTGTATTTGATTATATTCCTCAATTCCCATCCTGGACCTGGGCAGCCTCCACTCATCCTTTCCACCAGCATCTCTTTGCACAGGGATTTTGGGATGTTATTCCTGAAGAGTTTCCCCCCTCCTCAGTGTCTCTCACCTTCATCATTTACCTCAAGATCTCCTTTTTTTTCTACCCCAACATCCTAACGTGCAGATCCCCTTTTATCATGGAATCATGGAATGGTTTGGGTTGGAAGGGACCTTCAAGACCGTCCAACCCCCTGCATGGGCAGGGACACCTCCCACCAGCCCAGGCTGCTCCAAGCCCCATCCAACCTGCCCTTCAACGCCCCCAGGGATGGGGCAGCCACAGCTTCCCTGCCCAACCTGGGCCAGGCTCTC